ATTCTCATGAAAATGAAGAATAGAAAGGCCAGTTAGAGGAAACACAGTATTACGGGATTTAATAGTAACTCAGATAATGATTTTCACGACTGCTTGCATATTCAGATGAAGATTTCATATTAAATAAATTTATTTGACATAGCAATAATAACTTCGTGACTTATTGAGCACAATTTATTGCTCATAATCACATTAAGGTATTCAGATGATTTATTGAATTCGATTATGTAGATTTATTGTCTCCTGTTTTAACTGCACATTTCCACATACCCGGTATAAGTGTTGCGTCATTTTCTCTCTTTTTAAGAGTTGATTTGTTTTTCCAGTTTGACTACAGACTGATCTCACTTAAAATTCGCGGGCCATTGGATCGAGTCCCAGTGATTGAACGCTATACGAACTTGTCTTGCGGCCGGAAGGTCCTGGGTTCGAACCCCAGTGGGGCGTACTGCCGAGTGATTCCCAAAATTAGGATGAAACAACTGTCCAGTACTTCCTGGTTTTCAATGATTCTCAAACTGATATCCATCCGTGGTCGAACTCGATTAATCTCTCTCCGCCTAACTATAATAATGTTTTTTTACTATCACCCTCTCCCACTTTATTGTGTGATTAAATTCAAGCGAATGTATCCCATTGATTGGTCTTTCTTCCAGATTATTTAGCAGCATTAATTTTCCTGGATTTAGGTATATGGTAGCATGATTCAACAACCCAATTTTTCCTGATCTACTATTTTGTCCTATGTAAGTGAATTCACAATTACTATACAGTATTTGGTAAATTATCTTATTTTTCTCACAAACAGAAATACAATTCTCAGATCATCGTATCAATAATCGATGTGTGATCAATAAAGTTCTCCCTAAAAAATTCACATTAACACACCTATTTCAACAAACATAATGAAAGTTAAAGTACAAAAAGTCTTTGGACTCTGTTTAAGAGAAGAACTCCAGAGAATTATCAAAAAGCTAACTGTCACCAAACATGAGATTGAATATGAGATGCAGTTTGCACAGTTAAGTGGCCTAGTGGTCTAGGGGTATGATACTCGCTTTGGGTGCGAGTGGTCCCGGCTCCGAATCCCGGCTGGGTCCGTAATTTTCATGTCACCAGTGATTCCGACCCCGCTACTCCCCGTCGTCATGGTCACACGCCGCGGACTGACTCACACTCGCCTCTCTGCTTTATCGTCTCCACTCACTCCCTGCTCACTCTGCTAATCGTCTGTCTAAACACATATCTACGACACCTCAGTTAAGTATTTCACTGTATTATTACCATTTCGATGATAAACCGTATTATTTCGAACTTGATGATTCTAAACTCAGTCAGATATAAGCATTCAATGACTAAGAGTTGTGAATTATGATCAAGGTGTTCAATGCTGTTTCTATATTTGTCTGAACAACAATGATACGTAATAACATCTCACCTAGAATATTATTTTGTTGTGTCTAATATACTTGCATATGTGTAATCTGTATGATATCACATAAATGCAATTAACATACTTTTACATATTATCAGCGATGAAACTGATAATAAGTGGATTTAATGATATAATCATTTGGTTGATTACAAACTGTCTCCTTTTTAGACAGTTACTATTTTTTGAATTACGTATTAATACAATGTTCTACGTGGGTTGTAATAAAAGTTCCACCTCCAGATTACAGTCACTCTGTAAACTTATTGTTACGAGTTTATCTAGGTAATTCCATGAACAGTAGATGTTTCCTGTTATGATAAACGGTTTCTCCTAAGTTCTCCTTTACTAAGATTTAATAGTATAAAATATTTCCAATATCGTGAATCAAAAGTCATTCTGAGGGATGAATATTGTTTTCAATAAATTCGCTTCAGCTTCTGACAAATACAAAATATTGTATTAATTGTAATGATAATGGCTACTTATGCGACAGGTACATTTTACGTAAAGCAACAGACTAGTTATAGGATGACGAAATAAGTAGTATTTGTGTGAAAAATGTGCTGGCTTGAATTCAAGTATAAAACATCTTGAAATGCTAGACGATGATGGTGATTAGTCATTAAATTTTCTTACAATGCGGGGAAGGAAAATTGACAAGTCACTTCAAGATTACAAAAGGTGCCAGGCTAGTATGTTATAGCTTACATTATAGGAAAGATAAATAGACTTTAGTGAAGAGTTCATCATGAAATAACCAGTATGTGAAATAAAACAGACAAAGCCATATACTGAGAAAAGAGATATTATCACTATTAATAAGCCTGAATATTATCAAATGTAAAATCCAACTACCAGGATGCAAGGTACAAATTATAAAATATTAAAAACAGGTAAAAGAAGAAAGAACTAAAGGAGGAGGAGGCACTTTTGGATAAGAGAATAAATTTTAATCCATGTTTGGGCACAACAGGAACAGCCTCTGGACGTATTCTTTGTAAATATAAGTTTCGGTTTAGTCGATCTTATCGCATCAACCTCAGCTATATGTAGAACACGCAGGTATACTGTGCACGACATTGAATTCAGAATATAGTATATAATCCTGAATGCCATTTTAACATAGATGTGATGTGTTGTATCGACTAAGTGTGTGACAGAATTGAACTATTATGACTAATCACCATCATTGTCTTGCATTTCGCTATATTTTGCAACTGAATTTAGATCAACACATTTGCCACCCTACAACTAATTCTTTATTCTGCTATTTTAAGTCATAAAAAACTTGCACTTTTGCACCCACAGAATAACGCGATAGTGTGCCAAACTTAGTGCATATCATGATGACTTACCTAATGTTCAGTAAACACTGGCAACCTTCATCTCGGTTGCAAGAATTTGTTGATAAGAATCACTTATTTTAAGCGCCCACATACACACTGTTTCTTAATTTACGCATATGAATATCAAGTAATAATCATTACCCACTATTTAACATATCGGATCATTTCTACCATTTTTCGGATTCTGAAACGTCTTCACTTACTAAACAACTGTCATTTATTATTTCTAATATGTTGTCCTTCCGTAGCTGAAGTTCGTAGGGGTTCACCAAAGCGCATAATCCAGGTACATTGGTTTTTCATTGCATTTTTAGCTAGGAGACTTACGTAAGTTGTGTTGAGTAGTTTATTTTACTTTCTACTGTTATATGGCTAGTCTGAATTGTTTATTTCTATTTTGACAGTTGTAACGTTTTTCTGATAAAATTCTGAAAATACGACATGTCGTTAAGTAATGTGAAAAAATTCGTAGTCGTTACTAGGTGTGTACCTGCATTCAGTTACCAGCTGTGGAAAGATAGGGTAACGGTATTAGAAGGCAATTTATGTAGGTGATGAGGCAGGCTTACCAATGAATCTCTCTGTTCGTCGAATCTACAGCCAACATTTGTAAAAGCAGTGATATAATCCATTTTCTGGCTGTATGGAGTATTATGTTAAAATCAGTAGGAAGTAGAAGCACATAGAGCAAGTTGGAAATCAAGTCAATACTTTAATATGAATAAGATTGACAGATTATGTTTGAAACATCGTCCACTTAATAATACTTTACTGGTGTATGCAATATCACGTAGACTTAACAATTATAGATGTTATTCCTGCATTTTGCTGCCATACATCTGTGTGAAACTACACTAGTAGGAGAATTCATTCAGAACATTTATAGATACCTTTCATTTAATGCAGAATATATTCGTATCTTCAAACCACCTACTCAAGTTAATAGTGTCTACGTACAGATGTAACATACTGTTGATCTGAAGTAACTTACACAGGCATTTTTTCATATAAGTCTGCATCTTAATGTGTGAAAATCAATCTTCTTTTCTACCACAGATTTTTTCTTCGTGTTTGCTACTTCATAAAAGTGAAGTGAAAATGAAACCAATTTTCTCAAAGGTTTAGTATAACACGTAAGAGTGTTAGTTATCACTTGAATATTTTGTGTGGATTTCTCTGCATCTAAATACCTTCTTTGTCTTTTTATTAGCAAGCATACCATTTTGAAATCCTACTTTGATTATCATAAAGTACTGACCAACTTTATTTCTCTGTAATTCTTTTACAATCACAGAATCACTGTAAACTAGGTTTAACGTTTATTCTAGTTTAAAAATCAAAAGTGCACACTGGCAACTTGAGTGGGAATTGGACTCAGAGGCTTTACATTCTGAGGTGATAACGTTAGCACCCATGGTAAAACAGGAATATGTGATTATTAATCACCATTATTCACTTAGTGCCTCAACAACACGTCTTCATTTTATTCTGTTATCTGCAGTCCTTTTCAACTGATTCCATTGTTGGTCACATGCTTCCATCTCCCCTTTACAAGATCCCTTCATTTTCTACTCGTGTTCTAATCAAGGGCTTGCCTGGTTCGTGACATCACTCAGCGGTCTCCTAGGAGTATGTCCCGTGAGTTACATCCAGAATGGGAAATGATAAGTGGGTTTCCAAGGGAGACTTGGAGATGTTTTAATTTCACACAAATATCTCAAAATATTGTTTTGGTATTAAGTTTCACTTAGAACAGCGACACAGTTGCAGGTGTGGTCGGTTACAGAGTCCTAAGGAGAGCAAATTCGACTTCGTTAGTGACCTGTTGTTATATGACTGTGTATGTTTCGTTTGTTTTTTTGTTGATATCTGAAGTTTATTTTCTAATCGAGGACGAAATTTATGATTAATTTCAATTCGGATCCAGCGGACTATTGTGTGACTTCTTCGCACCTGTGTACTGTCCTTTAAAGGGTTTTTTTAAGAACGCAGTGTGTCTCTTAAATTTCGTTCAGAGAACAAAAACAAGATATCGCCTCATTATGAATTCATACACTGGCACACTGCGTGTGTTCAACGGAACTGCCTCATTGTTAATGTTCCCACGATGGTTTGGCTTAACAGTAGTTTGCTCCGTAGCTATTCACTTGGGATAGGATAGTATTCATATAATGACTGCATCATTAGTGTTACCAGCCAATATACAGAATGTGTTGTATAGAAGGATAACAAAAAATCAATGTATTTTAAAAAGCATTACATTTATTTGACAATTTATGGGTTAACTGATAATTTCGTCAGAAGTCAAAATAAAATCAAAGCGTCCACTTCTTTGTTTCAGCTGAATGAAATTCCTATAAGGGAAGGAAGTACAAAATTAAAATCGAATTGAAAGAGATAATAATTTATCTTAATAAGTATTAAATACCTGTGTAAAATGATTTTACCATATTGACGTCTGTTCGAAGACAAAAGTTCAGTAATGTGCAGAATGAAAACTCCATTACATCTAACTATAGTCACGGAAAACTTCACAGATATCGAATTTTCCATCTTTACTTAAGTCAATGTCTACGGAAATTCAGTAGCATGTCTCCTGAGGAAATCCTTATACTTCTGATATGTTCGCATAAATATAATTAACTATTGTCTGAGGACCAAGTGTGGAAGATGATGTGGTGATCCGGGATTGAAAACGAAACTTTTTTATACAATTCTGGTGCTCCAGGTGTGTTAAAACGTGTATCTCTAAGTAACTTTTCACGTCTCAATTGTTTCATTCTATTATATTGGAAATCTTTGTAATTTATATATTTGTGCATGTAAGTTTATGTGTCTTATCTAATCTCAGTTTGAGCATACTGAAACTAAGAACAAACCATATTTTTGAAGACTGATCATGGAGTGGACACAGCTGGAGAAGCACTGGAATTAATCCAGTGCGCAGTGGTAACATACGGTAGGATGAAGTTACGTGAAGTTCTAGTGGGAAGCCTTGACCAGCAGGGCCCACCACGCTGGATATGTGGGCAAATACTTGCTTATTACATCAACTAAAGTTCAGACCAAACATTAGGAAACTGTAGACTCTTAAACTACTATATTCTAGTGTCTGAATGGAATACAAGCTCGCTCCGTAGCCTGGAGGCGCTGAGTTTGATCCCTGTTGATGTTGTGGGTACATGCTTATGAAGTGTCCCAAATGGAGTGAAACAGTTTCCTAGATCTTCTTGATTTCTTCCTGTACCTGAAGTCAGTTTGTGATCAAGTTGGAAATCAGTCACATGCCTGCAAACGAACACTTAGAGATTATTTTTTGTAAACAGTATCAACAGATACACCATATCATATCTTTTTAAGCAAGTCAACCATCTATCTTAACTATATTCTGATATGTAGATTTAAAAATGCTGAGGTTCGTTTGTTTTTAGATCTTGCGCCCGCAGCAACCTTACTGTTTTGAAACTAAACTTCTTCATGAATCAACCTTAGTTAGTAAAAACCAACTGTAGTGAATTACAAAATTCACTCATTATTCATTAACGTAAACATGAAACATTTTTTTATGTACTTACACTTTCCATAGTAAGAGTAGAATGCTTGATCAAATCTACGATTTTTCTTTTGTACATTTCTGTCTGGGCTGAAATATACTGCTCTGTTTGGTCGAGAGAGGAAACCATGACGATATAATCCTCTTACACCTGGACACAAAAGTCCCAAATCTGTCTGCGTACAGTCTGAAATATCCATAAAGTCCTCGTCTATTCTCATAGTCAGTGTACTGATGAATAAACATACTGGAAAATTAACAGAAATTAAAAGGAAATTATAGGGTATATGCCAAGGTCCAGATTTTCTTAAATCATACTGACTGAAGGCAAATTGTCAGCTGTGTTCCATATGTTCAGAGATAAACGGTACTTTATAGTTACATGAAAAAAATGAAGGATAGCACTTTTAAGCATGTGCCAGTAGAATGCTCACTAACTATGAACGTGGTCTGGGATGTGAACTCCAACCGACGCACACCTAAATCTCAATTAACAGGTAGTTAGCCCGGTTTAGGGGCAAAGGTTGGACGTGACGCTGTAAAAATACACCACTGCTACTGAAACCTCAAAGATCAGGCTGGGATCTTTTGTCTCACTCCAAAAGCATAGAAAGCTTTAAAGCATATAAAATTTACTTCTGACTTCTGCCATGATGCCTTTATAAGCTCAGAAAATCGAGATAGAGTGCGTCGTGATATGTGATATTGATGAGTATATAGTTGTTTCTCTTCACATCATAGGAGTATCAGGGATACTAATAGGTGTTAACTTTGTATTTATACTCACATACAATTTTGCGGTTTCTGTATGTGCCATCAAAATCCTTAGGTGAATTTTAATGTAAGAGAGATTTTTATTTCATTTACTGTTTCTACATTATCTTTGTCATTTACTATAAGTTTATTTCTAATATTATTTCATTAACTATCAATAATAATTTAATTTCGCTAGCAGTCAAGATAGTGACAGTTCTGTTTATTTGTCGCTCAAAGATTGAGACTTTTCATTGTTTCCCCTTAGAGTAAACTTCCTTTGTTACCTCGAGACTATGTTGCATATTATATAAAAACTTGAAGGACCATAGCACACTTTTTCAAACTTTGTTTAAGGCCGAATTTCTTCAGTGATATAAGCGTAATACTTCTTCATGGTGAATACTTTTATCTGGTATGAAACACCTTGAACAAGAAATCTTTTATTCTTTACATGCTAAGTGATAAATTATCCTAATTTAGTGAAGACTCTAGGTTAGAGTTATTATAAAGGAATTCAAAAAGTTCAGTAGTACTGGTAGGTATTCAAACTATCATTAAACGTTTTTGGATGACTTTTCATTGTCCTTGTAATAGAAAGTAAATATATATTAAAATATTGATTGACCGTTTGAGGAAAAAGGTAAAAGAGGAACCGACTGAAAGTATTGAAATAATTCTGTTAAGTCACAACTGATATATTCACTCTGAAGTAACCAAAGTAAACACATTGAAACGCTTTTATACATTAGATCCTATAATAATATATGTGTAAAATTTGGGCTCTTTGGTAGTACGTAATTGCAAATTAATTTTTTTATTCGATAAGTCACACAGTGAAATTGTACTATTATTTAATGGATGACGTTTCGAACATAATTCAATATTTTTCATAATCATATCAATCATAACTACACAGCTTTGAAACCTTCGTTTTGTAGTATTCCTCGTTATTTCCCATTTGCGTAGGGGTAGTAGAATATTCCAGAAGCTAAGGACAGGTGTTGAGTCAATTTTAATACACGTATTTTCAGTTGATTCCAATATGAATCTCTGCTTCTATCGTGCTTTATCGGACTTTGGAACTGTCTTATCTTACCTTATCTTATCCCAGCTTATTGTATGTTTGTGTGTAAATGGATGTAGTGCTATAGCTGAACTACTCTCTAGACTTTTTATTTAGATATCTTATCAACTTATCTAGATTTTGCTGCCAGATTTTCATGCTTTACTAGTCTGACTGACCCCTGTTCTACTACTCTGACCTGGTAATGGTTGCAGATAGGGTGTTAGATAAACCACATTGTTTTATTCAATTCACTCTACAGGATTCTTTGACCGACAAAGCTTGTTTCTATGTGAGTTTGTGGATAGTTTGAATGCCAAACACTCTTATTCCTTGATTGTCAAGAATTCTTCAAAGGGTTTTCGAGGTTCCCAATTTGCATGGAAGTACCACTGACGACTTAAATTCCCGGTTGGTGATGTTGTTATTATTTTGTGCATATGAGTAATACTATTTCACTATGTGATAAATTAATGTGGAATCAGTTTCTACATTGCTTGTTTTAAAGGCGAAAAAAACAGATTCCTAAATTCATAAGTTATTCACTGTGCGTCTGTGTTTTGTAAGAATGATTAGGTTTAGGGAAATCAGAAATTCGAAAAGCGGACCGATAGCAAAATAATCAACTAAATGTTTTCCTACTATTTTTCATATTTTGTTTACCAATAATAATCATAGTGTTTCGTAATACTGTGAATGACTTTCATCTAATGTTCCAGTTTGATAGACAGACCACAAACACTTGTTTATGCCAAAGTTGATCATAGAATTAACAACATTCATCATGTATAGGGACTGTCATTTGTTCTATTTTTTAAAAACATCATAAAATTTGTTTACTAATAGGCCACTTTCTGTTTTTGATTTAAGGTTGGTAACCGAATTAATGTAATCTTGAAGCAAGTTCAAGTGAGGTTTAACTGAAAGATATTTCTAAACAAATCACAGCATTTCAATACTGGAATATTAAGAAATTTGTTTGGACTTTGGGATTGCAAATGAAATTTAAAAAAACGGTGATTTTCCATCCAGACCTTGTTCTTTTTACTCTTGCTAAGTTACCGAAGCACAAAAAGGAAATACTTAATTCCTACAATTTATAATTTCCTGTTGTTTATTCTGCTAATTTGATAATAGTTTCCTGATAAGACAAATTGTTTAATACTGACCGTTATTTTACAGAAGGTTGGTAAATGTCCTTGGAATGAATGAAGCTGAAGTTTCTGAATTTGAGGATACAACTAGTTCAAAGTTTTACTGAGACTCTAAGTTACCTGATTCTCAAGTATTTCAAATGATAGTGTGTCTAAAGTTGTGAGATATTCGCAAAGTTGACTAAACAGTGAATTTAAAACAATTTGTTCCCTTTATGAATTTAGATAAAGCAATAAGAAGACATAATTTGTCAGAATTGTGTAATGTATTTGCACAACACATTTCGAACAATCTGATCACACACGGACTTGTCATAGGAATATATATGAAATTAATAAAGAGGTAAGAGGTGAGAAAATAGACTTAGGTCAAGTTAAAAGGACATATTGAAGGTCAAAATAACAATGAAGACCACTAAACCAAATAGCAGAGGTAATAGTACATCTGCTATGGTATCAAAACAAAATTTACCAAAGAAGGTTTAATGTGATGATGAATTGTTTTTGAACGCATAAAGGTGGCTTGAACTTTAAAATTGCTAGGGCTTCTACAAACTTTAGGATACGCCCCAAACACGTTTTATAGATAGGTTTAAAAGATCTGTTAACATCGATTTTATGTCCTGTCTCTATAATAAAATAGCTCTTCTATTGCGAAACATGGATATCGGTAGCCCAAAATTTTCAGACTGACCATAGATATCAGGTGTGCGTCGGCAGGGGATCGAACCTCGGACCATGTGCATGGTCGGCGAGAGTTGTAACCACTGTGCCACCGACGCACAGTTTATCAGGATTACGTTGGAATTGAAATACCAGGACAAATTTTGTTTCACACACTTTGAAATTTTCATTAAACATGATGATACTTGATTCAGAACGTAGTTGTGGATCATAACGGGATTTAAATCAATTGCCCTCGTGTTCACATAACTCCTCGAAGGTATTCTACTAAGTCACCTAACTAGATGGTTTCAGAATTCACCTGAATAAATATATTTGGAGCGGAATGGTGACTAGTTTACTGAAGTGAAATCACAGGAGATTATCTGAACCGCATAAATGAAGTGTCATTGAGTGAAGTCATCAAGGCATTGGATAAAGTGAATGTATCAACTTAGAGTGATATTAATTAATTCATCTCCGAGTAAACATGAATTCTCTGAAATCTTATAAAATGTTAAAGGGTTAGTTCATTTGAGCATTAAATAATTAAAGGAGAGTGAAGCAGAATATTAATAGAATTCTCAGGAACACATGGTCATGGTTGTCAAACGTTTTGACCTGCGGTAAAATCACTGTCTCCGTTCGTTTCGTTTGGTTTAATCTGAAATGTGTATCAATCAGTCTGAAGAAGTTTTAATCCAAACTAGATTTTAATATTTTCACTTTCTTAACATCCATCACCGAACTTTAGATATTCACTTTTCCAGCAAATTTCCATCCTGTTAGAAATACGAGTCTGTCACGTCTGCTATATGTGACACTTATAACTGATGTTATTTAAAGAATAGTTAGCCACATACGCATATGTGATTCTATTGAAATTCTATTCCCATGAAGGACTTAAATAAGCAAATGGTTACACCTCATGTCCTGATATCATAAAATGCAACTGACACACAAGCTAAACACAATAAAAATGAAAGTTATAATATTGATACTAAAATTGTCTTTCTTGAATTCATATCCATTGTCCATTCACAATGAAATAAAAAATACTTACCCAGACAAACAAATAATACGTTGAATGTGCGAGTGAAGGTTTTGTTTATTCTGAACATATCTAAAATAGGCAAAATTAGAAAGAGGCATAAAAAGCTGTGATTTATATGTAAGCGAAATGGATAGAAAATGGAACTTTTTTCATTCATTGTAAGATAACAATATTTGCAGATTTTTTTTAACCTTTTATCAGTTTCTATTGTGTAAACAACACAGTAAAGCTTTTGTGATAGAATGACCTATCAGAATTGATTCTAGATACAAATATTAAAGGATGAATTCGTGAATATGTTTTACAATTATTTGTTCTGTGGTAAACACTGGTGTTTTATTCCGTTTCTGTTTGGCTTGTCAGTGGTTCCCCATGACATTTTAACCCAACAGTCTTCACTCCAAACTACAATTTATTAATCCGTATCATATAGCTTATTCTATACAATTCACTTTTATTTTTTAACACAAATGTTTGCTTCAAATGTATAAATCAATCCTGAATTATTGATTTTGTGAAGAATAGGAAAGGTTGATTACTGTAATTAACAGATATAGATAATATATAAGCAACGTATTAGATAATTTAAAGCATAAACCAATCATGGTGTTTTGTCTATAGGATAATATGATGGTGAATATAAATTGTGCAATTAGTCATAATAGTAGTAATGATAATAATAATACTGGTCTTATCAATAATAAGGATGAAAAGATGAGGCAATCTGTGATAACACGAATAATATAAAACAGTATGATTAAACAAACAATTGTTCAGGTAGTGATCATGTAGTCGAGAAAACGAGAGCCTTCAAAGTAACTCATCGTATCCCACCGAATCTTTTTAATAGACTTCGTATTCGTCGACAGCACACAGTTGAGGTGATAGGCATTCGAACTATTCAACCTAAACTATGCATTCATTCGAAAGAAGTTCGTACAGTCATTATCCTTTCCTTGGCCTATTAAGACATTAAGGTCTCTTCAACACTAATTCAATCTTGGTGTTCAATTTTCATTTAAGTAACTATAAATGTATTTTGATATTGCAGCAACGTACTATTTATTATCTAAAAAACTAGTACGATTTAGACTGCATTTTAGCGAAACTAATACCACCGAAGAGTCCAGGACCGAGACGAAAATGTTGTCCAGTGATCCCTAGCTTTCAGTAGTTTTATGTGATATTAGCTTATGGTGAAACTTTAATCCTACTATCCTTCAGGCTTTGATTCACTTTAGTAGACATTTTAAAACAATAACAGAATGGTGAATACATCTAATTGTTTTGTCGATAAAGAAAACGATTTAAACAATATCAAAGTGATACAATAAAGCAGGAGGAAGTGATGAAACTAAGTAGCATAAACCTGGTGGAATGTTCACTTAATGTTGAACAATTATAGTTATTGCAAATTTTTAGAATAAGTTAAGACTCCTACGTGATTAGGAAATGTTCATGTGTGTCTAATACTGATGAACAATGACAGCGAAAATCATGATGCGTAAAGTCACTTTCTGTCATCTTCTACTAAACAAATAAAGTTATTAAACTGCTCCTTTTTAATATTTTTTCTCAAATGTAGGTCTTTGTGGCATTGTAAGTGGCAAATATTTTCAATAGTTGGATTTTATACACAGGTATATTACTGGTGAAAACTATGTTTTATTAATAAGATCACGTTTGTAAGCACGAAATTTGATTAAATTTATCTGCATGCTCAGATATTAATTCCATCTACATGACATTATTCAGAATGGAGAGGTAAAATATCAACATTGTACGAAGTTTGCTCCGAATCATTCACCTTTCAAGGCCTGGTTGACAGTTAAAGTTTTACTCTTAGTGAACAATGATATTTTCTGTAGATTAACGTGGTATCATTTTAAGGGCTTAGCATAGAAAATATCCAGGTATTGTGTGATTCATGAGGAATGCTTCAGAGAAAATGAAAATTTTATTTTTTTTAATCACTAAATACAATTTTAGTAACACTAATAATAGCGTCCCAGTTATACATTTTTGACTCTGTAATTATGTTGAACAAAATTACATTTATATACTCAATATGTTTTGAGTGAAATTATAATAAATTAAAGGCAAATAGTCTTTTTAAGATAAAATATGTCAGGCTGTAATTAAGCGCAAGCTCTAGATATGCTGTACTCTGTTTAATTGATAGACAGTCTTGTGATTTGTAAAGTACTGTTATTTGTGTACTGTACGTTTTAGTAATTAGTTTGAAATTCTACTAATTTCAAGAAGTTTCTGTTAGCAAAGTCTAGTAAATTTTTAAGATTTCCAAGTTAAGTTTTTTTTTTTTTTTTTGATTTACAGCTTGATTCCACACTGTATTTCCGGTACAAGTATGGAATTTTCAGCATGGATATCGGTAGCCCAAATTTTGCAGGCCGACCATAGATATCAGGTGTGCGCCGGCGTGGGCTCGAACCCCGGACCATGTGCATGGTCAGCGAGAGTCCTAACCAATGTTGATTATTTTGATTTAAATGAGGACTATATCTTTAGTAAAGTGATTTAGTATGTAGTTGTGTGTTCTATACTTTCAATTTTGTTGTTTTTATACGACAGACTGCAATTCAAAAAAGACCTCAGAACATTATATCAGATAATCAGGTCTCTATTCGGGGAGAGAATAACACAGATGAAACCAATAAGAGGTAGGTACTCAGGGGAATCCAGTTTCTCAAGAGGAAAGACAAACAAGACAGTGGGCTGATCACTTCACAGGACTTTCGAATCGACGATCACCTGCAAATCGTCCAGAAATACCACCAGCTGTCATAGAATTGCCAGCAGATACCAATCCTTCCAGCGAAATGTGGAAGTGTTGAAGGTAATGAAGCTACACTATGGAGTGCCTCCAGTCTTCATCAATCTCAGTCAGCAGCTATACAATAATGCCACATGTCAGGCCATCCACAATGGAAAACTCAGCGAAGCCTATGAAGTGAATACAGGAGTAAGGAAAGACTGACTTTTATCACTGGTGATCTGCCAAGCTGTGGTGGGCTGGATATGTGGGAGATTGTGGGGAGCGAGAGGACAGAAATACTCTAGATCGGTAAGAAGACTGTAGGAGATCTGGATTTCACGGATGATTCTTGTTGACTTTCACACAAACTCGAAGACTTACAGACGAAAACCAACGAACTGGAAGAAGGGGTCGACGGCAAAGACAAGACTTTAAGTAAGAATATAGAAGAAGGAGGTGATGCAGATGATCAACTTACAGCAACAACAACCAGCACCAACTACTATCACCCGGAGAAATCTGAAATTGGCCACTTTATTCACCTATCTAGGTGTCATTGTTTCAGCTACTAGTGACAGCACGGTTAGGAACATCAAAATCAAAATGGAGAAGGATAGGCAGACATTTATCACTCTGCAATAATTATGAAAATCTTCTGCACTCAGCATAAAGAACGAGATTTGGATATTCAACACAAATGTTAAGTAAGTTCTTCAACATGGGCTGCAAACCTGGCGGGTCGCGTAATGTATTTCCAACTGGCTGTAGACTTTAGTCAACAGCTGGCTTCGGTTAAAAATAAAGACAAAATGAACAGAAAGAATTAGCGGCAAGAAACTCTGAAGACCAACCAGTCAAGAATATATTGCTCACTGGAATATGCAGGAGGAAGTGGAGATGAATGGGATATACGCTAAGGACACGGTTGAATGATATGCTGCACCAGGCCATCGCTGGAGTGGAATCTCAATTGAAAACAACGAGTTGGATCTGGTTGTGTGGGTGAAATGGAAGAAATCTTGTGAGGAAGAGATGAGGGACTATCGGCAATCGTGGGTCATCTAAAGAGGACTCCAGACAACAAGACGATGTCGAGATGTGGTATTGAAGCCATGTATCTCACTGAGAACCTAAGGGAACAAAATTTGCAATAATAAACGACAAAGAAGTTCATTTTAGATAGTGCGTGCTTTTTGAAAAGTCTGCTGAATTCGATTAGAGAATGCCCAACTACTTTGTTTCTTTTTATCAGTTCAGCGAACAGAAGCAGCTCTTTTTGCTTATACACAAAAGATGATCTATTGTTTATTACTTGGATGTGTTACTGTACGAAAATTAAAAGGTCAAAGTGTATATCATACGTATAAGTTTATACTGAACGCCGTGAATTACGCTAAATATATTCCATTTTTTAAAAGAAAACTGTGAAACTGTAATGCTATTCATTGTTTAAGATATGAAAATACATAAGGCTGAAGCAAGTTCACCATTAATACACCTAACAAGAATAAATGATGGGAAAACCTAATAACTTCTATCTCAAATTCATGATTTCTCAAAAAAAAAAATGAAATTACACTGGAGTTGGTACTTTCATTCAAATATTCCTCCTTGCTTTTGAATCAGTGGTTTACTGATTTGAAATTTCACCTGGAAAGCTGCCGTTTGGTATGATTGATTTCGACAGATAAAGGTTACTTGGTAGAAGTGCTTTCGTCTAGGTCAAAACACTTGATAAATAGCATTCTTCTTTTTATTAGAACATGAAGAAACAAAACTGGATATGAGTAAAACCGGAAGTTTGAAACTTACATAGAATCTTAAGCGTTAGAAAAATGTCTAATTCTAAGAAAGTCACAGGGAACAAAAAGACAAGTATTTGTTTCAGTGAATGGTAGTATTATAATTTCAGCAATGCGAAAAAATTAAACAAAGTTACATAAAGACCTCCCTTGAGTCTGTATATAAATATGAATGAACTTTATTTAGAGGTTGAGTGACCTGTGTTGAATTGTGTTTGATTATAGCAACTGGTATTAATTGGTGGTCTATCTGTCAGGTTAAAAGTCCCTCACCTAATTAAATAAAGCTCCTTGGACCATCAGTGTATATTTATAAATCTACAGGTTTAAAAAAATTGGCGCCTACTCATACAAAAGGTCACATAGTTTGTCTTTGCGGTTATCAAAAAACATTGAGGGAAGAGCCGCAGAGGAATATCACTCATAATAAAGATGCAAAGAATATTCATTTTAGATCACCTGCTCTTCTCTACTATACACTTTCAGCCAGA